ATGTTTCTGATCTGAATTTTTTAAGTTCTGATTTGATCTGATCTGAATCTTTCTGATCTGATCTGAATCTTTCTGATCTGATCTGATCTGATCTGAATCTTTCTGATCTGATCTGATCTGATCTGAATCTTCCTGATCTGATCTGAATGTTTCTGATCTGGTCTGATCTGATCTGAATCCTTCTGATCTGATCTGAATCTTTCAGATCTGATCTGATTTGAATATTTGTATGATTATAATTATAATTATAATTATTATAATTGCAATTACAAATATAACTTAAATAAAATTATAATTATAATCGTAACTATAAAAATAATAATAATAATTAAAATTAAATTTAAAATGAAAAAATTTATACATATTACACTAATTATAAATATAGATATAATTATAATTGTAATTATATTTTTAATTATAATTACTTATATAATTATAATTGTAATTATAATTACAATATCTATCTCTATAATTGTAACTATAGTTATCAATATTGTTATAATTACTCCGTAAAATAATTACAATAGTAACAATAATAATAATATTAATAATTATAATAAAAATAATAATTATAATCATAAATTATAACTATAATATAATTATAAGTATATTTATAATTAATAATAATTATAATTATATTAACATTAATTATAATATTATAATATAATAATAGTAATATAAATACAATTAATATTATTATAACGATATTATTATATTAATATTATTATTACAATAACATAATAATAATAATATTATTATTATAATTAGTATTATATCATTATAATATTATATTATAATTATAATTATAATCATAATTATAATTATGATTGTAATTATAATTATTATAATTATAATTAATTACAATTATAATTATAATTAATTATAGATATAATTATAATAATTAAAATTGATATACTTATAATTATAAGAATTATAATTGTAAGTATAATTATAATTACATATAATTATAATATAATATTATAATAATATTAATCATATTATTATTATAATATTGTAATAATAATAATAGTCTTCTTAATAATTGCATTTATATTACTATTATTATATTAAAATATTATAACTATATTAATATCTTTTTTTTATCATATTATTATTAATATTATTAATAATAATTATATAATAATAATCATAATAGTAATAACAATATTAATAATAATAATTAATATAATAATAAAAGTGATAAATCATGTTTGAACTTTTCTGATCTGATCTGATCTGATCTGAATGTTTCTGATCTGGTCTGATCTTATCTGAATGTTTCTGATCTGATCTGAATCTTTCTGATCTGATCTGAATTTTTCTGATCTGATCTGATCTGAATAAAATAAGAATAAGTAATAAGTAATAAGAATAAGACGAACATAACAGCACCTAAGAAGTAATGAGCTCCAAAATTCATAGGATGAGAGATCCGATCGTCGGCCGCACACTTCTCTCCTGCGGCAAGGGTTTCAATAACCCATATGATAAAGGGAGAAATAATTTGGCTAGTGCAAACTTTAAATGCGTGTGAGATAAATATCTTAGCATCATAATCATATACTATCTATATTGTTTTATTATTTTCTTTAACAAATGTGTGATTTATATACACTGACCATTTTTAGTTGCAAAACAATTCACTTCCCGTCAACATAATTTCGACATTTTAATTTCATATTTATAAACAACGGTTTTGACCATTAATGGTGTTTTTAATTGGACTGTAATTTGTTTGTATGGTCTGGTCTGGTCTGAGATGATCTGGTCTGATCTCTTTGTATTTTTATAACTATTCAAGGTTGGTCTAGTCTAGTATGTTTTTGTCTGATCTGGGATATATTACAGATTTACGGTCCAAGTAAAAACATCATAACCTGTTTGATTAAATATTAGTATCCAATTACAAACATCATATTTAATATTTTATATTCAAACAAATTTTATAATTTTTTTTTACCCCGGAAGGCAAACCACATTTAACCACCCATCAGTGGGGTAAATGCCGGGGAGTATTTACCAAATTTTATTAAAAAACGAGTGAAAGTACAATGGAAAGGGGGACTAGACCAAAACATTTTCGTAGGGGCATACCTCCCAAACATGCAGGAGAGAATTAAAATAAAAGAACAACAATTGAGGGACCAACAAATTTTATAATATTTTATTTAGGATAATTGTTTAATCATTTAATAAATAAAACAAAGTCAAAATGTGAGTGACATAGAAGTTAAAGTAGAGATTGCAAATAGTGTAAGAGTTTAAGCATTTCAACTATTAAAGATGAAAAAAATCTGAATATATTATACGTAGTATTTGACAAGAGATAATATTATTTATTTCACAAATGAAAGCCTAAAATGTTAACTTCATGATCATAAAGTCTTATAGTATTTTAAATTATGTACTTAATAAATCCAAACTATAAGAAGTATTTGTGAAAGAAAAAAACATACAATAATGGTGCTTGAATTATATATAGTTTAGGGTACTTGTCTCACACTCTTTAAAAATTGGGATATTTAAAATATTCCCCGCAATAAAGTAAATATGTACCACTATGTGTAAGTTATAAACATACAATCAGGCGCATTTGTAGAATTATAACAACGTCATATTTTGAGCTTCTAGGGTTAGCCGCCGCCGGGTTTTTTTCCGTTTTCGATTTTGATCGAAGAACAAGCTGATTTTGTCTCGCAAGATTGCAACACCTTGCTTCTATCGTGGTCTGTCGAAGCACTCGACGGCTATTTTGTTTTCAAGCTTCGGCCGATATATACGGGGGGGGGGGGGGAGAAAGAATCCGAAGGAGGTTTTCGATGGAAGATATCGTCCATAATTACAAAAAGATGGCTATTGGCGAGGATGACAACAAACTCAACTTTGATGATGAGGAAGCTGGGGAGATTGAAGAAGTCGAAGATAGGATGGAGTTTCTGGTGGTCGGAGTAGTATTTACGGACCGAAAGATCAATTTTCAGGCATTCAAGGAGCTTTTGGCTTCAATATGGCGTCCGGAGAAAGGAATTTCCATTAAAGAAATTGGAGATAAAAGGTACCTTTTCACTTTATATCATAATGTGGACATGAACAGTGTGCTTGAGGATGGTCCTTGGTTGTTTGAGAGAGATTTGCTTCTCTTAAAAGCAGTTCAGCCAGATGATATCTATGAAAAGATGATTTTGTGTGAGACTGGATTCTGGGTACAGGTCCACAATGTCCCTTTTAAGTTTAGAAACCTGGGTTCCACTAGGAGATTTGGAAATTATATTGGCACTTTAATTAGCTTTGATAAGAACCAGTTTGAGGAAAAATGGAAATCTTATATGAGAATTAGGGTGTGTATGGATATGAGAAAACCTCTGAAGAAGGGAACTAGTTTAAAAAAGAGGGAATTGGACATTGGGTAGATTTTAAATATGAGAAACTACCTTATTTCTGTTTCTTGTGTGGGGTGATTGGGCATTCTGATAAATTCTGCCCCTTGAAATATGAGGATGGTATTATGTTGGAGAAAACTTTTGGGGTGGAGCTTTGGGCTGGCGGAGGGGGGAAGACCGGGCTTACAGGGGCCAATAAATGGCTAGTGGAGAATTCTTCAGGCTCGGGGGTGCTAGGTCTAAGCAAAAGATAGATCTTGAGAGTGAAGGCATAGGGGCACACAATAGGCACAAGTTCTCAGCAGAGACAGGTAACAGTGTGTCAAAGAAGGACAAGATGGGCAAAACGCAGGAGGATTTGGGAAGGCCAAGCAAGAGAGGATGCAGCTGGTGAAGGCATGTCACTGGATGAATAAAAAAATGGAGAGGCGGCAGGTCAGGACTTCTAGACCCGCCGGTGGTACACTTGGTGCTTTTGCTCAAGAGGACGAGCTTTGGAGTCCATTTTTTGTGATTTAGGATTTTAATTTCCACGTTAAGACAATTATGTTTTGCTTTACTTTCCTTTTATACTGTAAGACTGATGCACTTGGATTGGGGGACGAGAGGCTTGCGGTAATCGTCGTTGGTTTGATTATGCCCAAGTTAGGATCAACAAGTTATAATGCTTTGTCAAAGGTGATTAACTCTGAGTGTGGTCCAAGGGTGGATAGTTACATGTGGTCCTTTTGTTATTTCAAACCCTATCTGATTGTTATTAATGGTCCTTTTGTGTTTTCGGATTTTAATTTCCACGTTAAGACAATTATGTTTTGCTTTACTTTCCTTTTATGTTGTAAGACTGATGCACTTAGATTGGGGGACGAGATACCTGCAGTAATCGTCGTTGGTTTGATTATGCCCAAGTTAGGATCAACGAGTTATAATGTTTTGTCAAAGGTGATTAACTCTGAGTCTGGTCCAAGAGCGGATGATTACATGTGGTCCTTTGTTATTTCAACCCATATCTGATTGCTATTTTATTAATGTAAGCCCCCTTCGATAAAAAGCCCATCATATTTTATTATTTTAGTGACATAAGTGTATGTAATTAAATTTATAATAATCCGTAGCCTTTTTTTGGCATTTTAATCGAGTGAAGGTTCAAGAAAGAATAACCATGGCTTCTATAGATGTTCTAGAGCAGCGTCATCTCAATCCAGCAATTGAGGAGGAGGTCAAACGATTAGTTATTGGAGGCAGCACTGTTTTTTTGGCATTTTGATCCCTTTTTTATTTTTCTAATTTTTTTTATAACAAGAATGTAGAAAAATCTTGGGAAAAGTTTTAGGGAGAAAAAAGAAAAACCATACGTGGGACTGCTTGAAGAAGATTTGTGAAAAGTGGGATTTATGGTTGAATAATTTGCAAAGAAAATGAAAAAACTGGAATAGCAGGTCATCAACCGGTTAGGGACCGACGAATGAAGATGGAGTGCAAAGGTTGGATTATTCCTGAATTACCGAAAGATGAGACTGTTGTTTGAAGACCGCTAAAAGTTTGGATTATTAGTTTCCAATTTCCCAAGTACTAAACAGTCAAGGTAGGATATTTGAATAACATGAAATTCAAACAGTTGGAGTTAATAAGAAACAAATGAAATGTTTAATATAGTCAATGTGCTGGTACGAAACATAATGTGTAATCCATATGATGGAGTGAAATCACTCAAATCAGTAATGCAAGCATGCATGAAGAAAAAAAATGAGAAAGGGAGATCCATCCCATTATAGTGCAAATGAGAAAATAAGATATTATACAGTAGCAAAAGATAGCAAAAAAATGCAAATGAAAAAGATAGAGCTCCCTTAGGAGAAACCACTTGAGTTTAGGAACATTTAAGCTCTTTGGCATTTCTACATCCTTTGCATATCTATAACTTGGAGATTAATGATACTACTCGAAGACTCCAAGAGTAAGTCATCCGAGTTTGATGGGTGCCCCACAAAGTTTTTCCAGTTCAGTCTCTATGACATTGAACAAGGTTTCTTCAGTTCGCCTATAAATCCAAGCTTCAGATTTCTGGTCCCAATCAAACCTTGACGGACCACTGCAGTTCTAAAAAATGTCAGTTACTCTCTTTGACCCACTAAAGCAAGACTCGGTTGTAATTAAATCTACGGAGTATCTTATTCATCATACCACACTTGTAGTTATTAATGGTAGGAGTGTAGGACACTAGGACTGTCTATATTGACCTACAAATAGGGCTCATCAATTCTGAACTTTTCCCGATTCTCCCAAAAATGCTGATTAGCTTTGGGCTTTGGCAATATGACACCGAAAATATAGTTAGATTCCCTTCTGTATGTCCCCCTTCTCCTACCCTCCCATCTGTTTTCAAGTTTCAACCATTAGAAATCCTCTTATCACTTCCCCCAGCCTGCCATAAGCATATCTATGACAGCCCTGTTTTTTCCAGATTAACAGGGACAAATGTGTTCTAGAAATGAAAAATTATACTCATATCATTTGGATATTACTCCTATTAATTATTTAATTAATTCTATAAAAGTAAAATATGCATTTTGTTGTTGACTCGACTTATTGAGCCAGAATTAGACCTTAGATTCACAATATCGACAAATCAGATTATTTGAGTCAATTCAGATTCAGCCCTGCAAATAACAATATCAGCAAATTCAGCCCTGCAAATAACAATATCAGCAAATTCAGCCCTGCAAATAACATTTCAGCCCCTATTGCAGCAAATGCAGATATTGCAAGACTGAACTCAGTTCATAAAGTCTGTTGGAATTTTACATCCCAAGAAAAATTGTGGGATAAGCCGAATTTTACCATATACATAGCGGTACTACGCAAATTAAACAGAGTGTAAGCTAAATAGTGTACATACAATACGAAATAAGTGCCCAAGTCTAAACACAGTAACAACACACAAGTGATAGAGCATAGCCACGACAACAACGAAATTAATGCTAACTTATCAACCATGAGGCAGGATAGTTAAAAGATGTAGACATTACATGGTAGAAAATTAGACCATCTGATAGGCACACCGTCACACACAGTCAGTTTTCAGGATAAAGAATATGTGTATACCTTACTGGTGATGAGATCCATATTTGCCTATTAGGCGTTTGTTTGTTTATTACATAGGTTCCCAATCTTCCAAGCTTCAAGGTCAGAACCTCATTCTGCAAATGGAACCCAAAGTTAATACGTAGCATATTAACACCATGCTAACCATGAAATGAAATTTTAAAACTTTGTCCTGCTCACCCCATAGTCAACATCAAAACCATCAATATCTACTAAATCACCATATTCCTGTCATGATAAAACAAAAATGATAGACACAACTAAGAATGCATAACTAAAAAGTAAAAACATTATCGGTAAATATAATTTAAGAAACTAATAATATCCAACATAAAATGCACTATGATTCCTCCATGAATCCAACAGCAATATCCAAGCCTTAGTCCCAAAAGAGTGTGGGGTCTGCTGACATGAATCCACATTTAAGAGCATAAATGTCAAAAGTTTTCAGTTTTTACCTCCAACTTCTCAAGAAGGTGATGGATAGTTAAACTAGCCAACCTGTGATACTCATCTTCCTCCAGTAGCGAACTGCGCATCCATCAATTTAGTAAATGACTGCATGGTTCTAACTTCTACTATAGTTTCTTGCTAGATAAAAGTTGCCTGTTGTTGGTATATATACACAATATGTGTGTGTGTGTGTGTGTATAGACACAGACATATATAATCTGCTAAGGTAAAAGATTTGATGTGTGTAGATAGATATATATTACAGAAACACATGTAATCTGCAATGAAAAAAGATTTGATTTTTAATTTGCTTCCCAAACTGTGATCAACCAAACAAACACTAGGAAGTAAGAGTCGCAGGCTAGCAGCAAGTAAAACAATCACTTACCGGTAATCGATGGCCGTTGGCCCTTTAGATCCTGTATTGAGTGGAGAAGAGGTACAGGAACAAAAGCTTCTAAAATGGTAACCCGTGAATGATCTGGGTCTATATCCTGAAGGTTCTGGACCATGACTATACGCAGCAGACAATGGCGAACACGACCGCCGTGTCGAATAAGCCAATTGAAGCGTAGGTCTATATGCTTTCCGTACTATTCTGAGTAGGGGTTTGTTCAGAGAAGAAAGTGAAACCATTTCCGATTCTCTGAAGCTTTGAACACAACGTGCCGAGTCAAGTGGACCTTCCAAGCCCAAAAGTTCGGGTCACTATGCGAGTCAGATATTTACCCGGTTATTTGGGTTGGGCGTACAATCACTATGCGGGTCAGATATTTACCCTTCCGTTTCCTTCTTTCTAACGTTGCGGCTTGCGACCTCCTCGTTTACCTCGCGAATCTCCAACGAACAGCAACCCCGCCCGGGCATTAGGTTTAGCCGTCTTTAGCTGCCGTCATTTGTTGCTCCACCGGATTCTTTGGCAACTTTTGCGGGTAAGTCCTTTGTCCTAATCAATTTCTGTTACTTCTTCATTTCAGCTTGTATGTACATAAATGCCATTTTATGTTTTTTATAGATGTGTTTTTTTACTTGTATATTTGGAATATTTTATACATATTCCGACAGTACATAAAAACAATAGTATGTTTAATTAGTTTTCATTTTAATACTATTATTATTAATTAATAAAAGAAGTTTTAAGATGCAATGGCATTAAGAAAAGAATAAGTTTGCTTGAGAAAGACTTGGTGGCACAGCTACGATGCAAAGCATGAGGTATTTGATTTGATTCAACTACCCTGCGCAGCAGATTTTGTTTCTACTGGCTGGTTTTTACCAGGCTATCAGGGTTTGAGCACCCTGGTCCGGGTTTGGGCAAGTCTACAAGTTATTTCCAGTCTGGCTCAATTAACGGGTTAAAGGACAACCAGACAGGATTAATTGCTGGTTCACTGGGTTCCAAGCTTATCCGCCCGGTCCACTCCAGTTCTTATTATAAGAGTTTGAATTGATGATTGATCTGGTTTGTTTGATGTCAACTATTGAACTTCGGTCTAGTCTGTTCTGATCCGACCTGTTCAGTTTTAGTTTGGTCTAGGATTGATGTTTTTACTTGGACTAAAAGTAAATCGTGAGAGTTAATGAGTTAGTAACTCCCAAGTCCCAACAACTACACCCTGTTGGCAGCGCCACCACTACCGCCTCCTCCGCTGTCAGTGACTTTGAGGCTGCACATTTGTTAGTGGTGTTGCCCAAGCCTAACCAAATTGTAATGTTAGTGACCACGTCATAACTGAATGCTTGTAGTTTGTTAGAAACCTCCAAGAAATCCAGAATAATCTCAGAAAATTAATGGGAAACAACTGAAATCTTTATTGATGAATATGATCGATAACAGAGAGAAACAGTACAAAGGCCGAAGCCTCCCAAAGAGAAGAGAAAACAGATTCTCTAATCTTCCCAAGTCCCAAAACAGAATGTCCAAAAGCCTACCCGACTTCTCCCCAGTTTAGTCTATTTATACTAACTATTACACTTATTATTATTCTTGGTTTATTAGGCCCAATTCCTAACAGTCCATTAGGCCCAATCTAATAGCTACTAGTCTATTTAATAGTCAATAGGTGGGTCCCTATCAATACTCCCACCCTAAACAACCACCTTGACCTCAAGGTGGGCGATAGGAAATCGCTATGATCTTCAGCTTCCTCTTCTTCCTTGCGCCTCTTCCTTCCCAGTACTTGACTGGTTGATGGATTAGTGAATTCAGTACAAGATTTATTATCACAGAACTTCCCACAGCAGAAGAATTTTGTAGTGCAGTTTCCTTCTGTTCAGTCACCTTCCCGCACTCCATATCAAAAATTATTTCTTCACCTTTCTGCAGCCCCTCATGCTTCCCATGTTCTGAAACTAATACTGTACTAAATGGAAACTCCTTTATGCAGCTTTCAACCTCTCCCCTTTTTACCTCCTTGCCTACCTTATTTGAGAAAGAAAACCTTAAAGGTTTTGGCAGGTAAGTAAGGATACCCCTTATTCCAGTTGCATTTCTCCTAACCAAGGAACATGAAAGATTATTTCCCAAGTATGGCTTCCAAAATTGGCGTCCTAGCAGGTAAGCAGATTCTTCCCCAGAAGAAAACATTGCTATTTTCAAGCCTTGTTTCACTTTCACCTGTTCCTTAGTTTCAATATCTTGTTCCACATAACTTCCTGCCGTTTTCTCATTGATATAACTTGTAGTTCTGAGCACTCCTGTCACATAATCCACCCCTAAGTTGTCAGGTGAGTCACAACTAATTGGACCCTTCCCATTCAGAACTACAATAGCAGAAGAAACAACTGGAGCATATTCTTGATGATCCTTTGAATTATACGGAGCTGAAATTCCTTCTTCAACCTGGGTTTTGAAGATTGTTTTAAACATACTAGAAGATTGCATCCCAAAAGTCAATTCTTGATTGTACACTGCTGTTTCAGCCTCTTTATCATCCATAACCAGTCTTCCTCCACTCATAACATTCATCCCAGTGGGTGAAATTCCAGGCAAAATCAATGCCCCAATTTGAAAATTAGCATATGATTTCCCAGAAAGATGATAAACACGATCCTCAAGAAGAACTGGACCATATCTCTTTTGTTCCAGGGAATTTAAATCCACATTGTTTGCAAAATTAGGAGAAACATAACCTGGCCATTGAGTAATCTGGCTTTGTTCCTCGAATTCTTCCTTCTTATTCATTTTCTTGATTACAGATTCCATTGGTTCCCTTTCGGTCTTATTTATTGACTGAGAAAATTCTTTCCCAAGTAGAGAAACATCTGTCGACAAAACTAGCAAACCAGAAGGTTCTTCTTTCGATCGCGGTTCCTCATTATGCAAGTTGATCGCTGATGGGTCAATTTAATAGTCAATAGGTGGGTCCCTATCATAGTTACTAATAATGTCCAAACATCCCCACCATCAGCATTTCAGTTATCAATAATAAATTCAACCCTGAACCTGAAAATCCATTTCATTTCTATGTTTGAGTTTGACATTGTTTGTACCTTCTCTATGTTGATATAACGAGTAAAGACATGCATACATTTAAGATTGAATATGATGGTTGACATATTGTAAATGTAGTTTAACATTACATTTAGGCGTGAAAATACAACTGATATGAAGCAGAATCTGGGCTTGGAAGAAGAGGGGCAGAAGCCCCCGTGGGTTTACCGAAGGCGGGACGGGCTTGAGCCACCTTCGTGGGCTGGTTGCGGGCTGTTTAATTAATATTTATTATTCCTTTTATTTTGTTTCCTAATTTAATTTGTTTCCTAGTAGGATTTATTTAGGACTTCTATTCTTATTAGAATTAGAGGTTTCCTATTTCTATTTAGTTTCCTAGAATGATTTAATTAGGAGTTCTATTAGAACTAGAGTTTTCCTATTCTATTTAGTTTCCGAGATTAATTTAATTAGGATTCCTATTCTTATTAGACCTAAAGTGTTATTTATACCCTTGTATGCTTCATTCTTGATAATCTGGGAATAAAAGTTCTGGGCAACGGTATTTATTTATCGTTGATTATCTGGGCAACGGTTCACCCCGTTGATTTTATTTTTCTGCTTCATAACAACAACACAGGTAAGACATTGAAAAGCCTCCCCACTTTTGATTAATTCAATAATATTACAAGGAAAAAAACTAAGGATGGAGCACAGAGGGAGAGACAAGCATAATCTCTAGGCCAGCTGTGAGAAGAGAGATATGTCAACAATACTTCCAAGAAGAGGGGATAAAGTGCAAATAGAGGCAAAGAAGTACTTCCAGTCTAATTAAAATAATACTACAAGTCTACAATATATATATATATATATACATATATATATACATATATATATATATATATATTGTACTGCATATTGAAGTTCAAAGTGTTGCATATTATTTGTACTGCATATTAAAGTTCAAAGTTTTGCATATTGTTTTTATTACATATTGAAATTCACAGTGTGCATCTTTACATTATTTGTACTGCATATTGAAGTTTGATGTGTTGCATATTATTGAGTTAGTAAGTTAGTATTTTAAGCATGGTTAGTATGTGATCTCTTATCTATACATATATATATATATATATATATATATATGAAAGTATGTAACACAAAAACTAATTGAAAAATAATTTTTTACTGGACAATACAAATACAGGAGATTAACACAAGAAATCACCTCTTAACGTGACTGTACGCTTGAATTTATATGATTCACAATAGCCATGCTAAACTCTGCACATCTACATCACCAAGATGGAAGATTATCCCAGTTTATAGACAAGAATTTCAAACTATTTGCTTTAGGCCTTGCCTGTTAGAACCAATGTCAGCCACACAATCCTAAACTTGGAAGTATAATAAACAATGTAATGTTTCATACCTTTTCCTGTTAGAACCAATGCCACCCACACAATCTCAAACTTGGAAGTATAACAAACAATGTAATGTTTCATACTTTTGTAGCATAGTTCTCTCACCTGTCCTGTCCTTTTTATTCATCTTTCCATTTTAATATGTCTGTTCCAATTTGTTTTTCCATACAATTTTGGCCATATTTTGTGGCTCACATCATGCTTAATTTTACAAAATTGATATTACCAAACAATTCCATTTTGTTTTTTTCTAAGTATTTGTGCCAAGACCATTGTTCCTAACATGATGGGATGGAACTGTGGAAGGAGTACCTATAACTATCAATTGTAGATGTTTTAGATTGTAGCAATGAATCAGAAATCCTATAGGACAAATTCAACAAATACAAACTATTGCATTATGCATCTCATGAAGAGCAACCCATTAATTGCAAATTTACAATAACTTTATTCTAAAACATAAGTTATACTTCGTATTATCAACTTTTTGAAAGTATAGTACTCCACAACTCAAATGCGGAACAAAAAAACACTGAATGACTGAACACAAACATTGTTATGCTAAAGTTCATGAGATATTACTGTATTGAAGATGGTTCTCTTTCAAAGGGAGTATATGGCTGCTTCTATTTCATTTCTGCTATAGAAATGGTTCTATACCATCTGCCTCTCATTGTATTCAGGAAGGTGGTGGAATATAAATGGTGATAAAGATGATATTTTTATGATGATGTTTAATAAATAAAATATTTAATTAACTAATTGTGTGATTTGATTTTTATTTAGAAAGTGGAGAAGGTATGAACCTCATTGGTCATTCCTTAGAAGTAAACGACCAAAATAATTTTGGGACACGCAAATTAGATTGTATTGAAGAAGACCCATAGTATGTAGTTATGTACATTGAAGTATTGAACCGAGATCAATATAGTCTTGTAGAAGAACCACTTGGGCTGTAACCAAGCATATTTGTTGTGATTGTAATAGACTAATAGGGCACTAGAGCATTTTGAGTAGAATAGTATATTTTTTGAGGCTTTGCACTATCTATTATCTTTCCAAACCAGAAAGTTACTTTTCACACATGGCGGATTGGCAGAGAAAATACATACAGTTTAGCTGACTTTTTTTAATCTAGAACTTTTTATGGTTTGGCAGGAACTTCTAATGGAAGAATTTTTTTGCTACTATATTATATAAGGAGTAGTACATTTCATCTTACAGCCTCTCCTCAATGTCCTTCCCTGCCATCTGCACCACATCTTCACAAATTCTCAATCTGCTAAGGGATTGTATAAACATCCGAAATCTACAACAGGTCCACACCCAGATCATCTGCAAAGGCTTTGAACAAGACCACATCGTCGTAAACCAGTTCATTTCAGTCAGCAACTCGTTCTCATCCAGCGTAGCCTATGCCACCAGTGTCTTTGAGCGCATTCTTCAGCCTAACATCTATCTCTGGAACACGCTCATCAAAGGGTATTGTGAACACTCATCTCTTGTACAGTCACTGTCACTTTTCAATCGAATGAAGAAATGTTCAGATGTTGTTCCGGATGGATATACATTAACTTCGCTGGTCAGGGCTTGTTCTGCTGTGCTTTCTTTGAGAGATGGGCTGGCCGTTCATGCGTTGGTCATCAGGTATGGGACAAATAGTAATGTGTTTGTTGGTTCATCATTGATTACTTTTTATGGGAAATGTAAAGAAATTGAGTGTGCACGTAGGCTGTTTGATGAGATTCCTTTGAAAAATGAAGTATCCTGGACTGCTATAATTGTTGGGTATGTTAATTTTGGTGACTTTTCAGAAGCTCAGAAACTGTTTAACAAAATGCCCCAGAAAAATCTGGTTTCATGGAATGTGATGATAACTGCATTTGTGAAGTTTGGAGACCTCAATACTGCCAAGAGACTGTTTGATGGAATGCCTGAAAGGAATGTGGTTTCTTTTACGACAATGATTGATGGGTATGCAAAAGCTGGGGACATGGTTTCTGCAAGGGTTTTGTTTGAGCAGTCTACAGGAAGAGATATAATTTCTTGGTCAGCTATGATATCAGGGTATGCACAGAATGGACAGCCTAATGAAGCTGTAAAGTTGTTCTTCGAAATGATGTCCGTAAATCTTAGACCAGATGAGTTTGTTATGGTCAGTTTGATGTCTGCTTGCTCCCAAATAGGATGTTTGGACCTGGCTAGACGGGTGGATTCTTATGTGAAGCAAAGCTTATCTAATCTGCATCAACCACATGTAGCAGCGGCTCTTGTAGATATGAATGCAAAATGTGGAAACATGGATAGAGCAATAGCTTTGTTTGAGGAGATACCTAAGCGTGACGTAATTTTGTATTGTTCGTTGATGCAAGCACTTTCTATTCATGGACGTTGTGAGGAGGCAGTTGGTCTATTTGATAGGATGCTAAAGGAAGGGTTAGTGCCTGATGGTGTAGCCTTCACTGTGATTTTGACGGCATGTAGTCGCGGGGAGCTTGTTGAAGATGCCTTTCGTTTTGTTACTGCAATGATAAATGACTACTCCCTAAAGCCTTCCCCTGACCATTATGCATGCATGGTTGACCTTCTTGGACGATCAGGAAAGCTCAAAGCTGCATATAACCTATTAATTAAAACAACACCCATTGAGGCCTATGCTGGTGCATGGGGTGCACTTCTTGGGGCCTGTAAGCTGCATTCTGATATTGAGTTAGGTGAGGAGATAGCATGCAGGCTATTTGAACTTGAGCCTCTCAATGCGGGAAATTATGTGCTCTTGTCGGGCCTTTATGCTTCAATAGATAGGTGGTTAGATGTTTCACATTTGAGAGATAAGATGAGTGAGAGGGGTATTCGGAAGATACCTGGTCGCAGTTGGATATAGTCAATTAGTCATAAATATGGATTGCCCTTTTTGCTTGTCACTATTTCTTCTCCATATAATGACAACTGGTACACCGTGTTTTCAATCCATTTCTGGAGAAGTGTGGCAATGTGCATGGTATTCACTGTTTTTCTGTACTGGTGCAGCTGCAATATCAGTTACTAATCAGCGGTGATGCTGCCAATATCATGCATTCAGGTAATATTTCATGCATGCGGTTTTGCTGGTGGTTGTTTTCATTTTATATCGAGAAAAGGTCCAAATAGACTCTTCTACTATTTCCAATCAATCACTTAAGCCCCTCTACTAAAAAAGTATCATTTTAAGTATGCTTACTTTAAAAAACCGATCAATCCGTCCATTTAACTGGTTTCTTGACCAGTTATTTTTTGGAAAAAATGTAAAAGATTTTTAAAGTAAAAAAAAAGAACTGTTTTTTTTCAAAAATGTAAAAATCTTTATTTTTTGCATTTTTGAAATTATTAGTATACTCTACATCTTTTAAAAAGTTTTTACATTTTTTTTTATATATTTACATTTTCATTTTTTCGATTTTTTATTGTAACATTTTAAAATTATATATATATTTGTACATTCAAAAATGACCTGCTATAACAGTTCAAAATTGGTTGTGTTTTTAGTGTAAGTGTGTCCTCTGTTCTAAAAATCGTTCTAGGCGCCCGACTAGTCCCCGCCTAGGCGCTAGGCGGTGCTCGGGCGCCCCGATTTTCGTCTAGGTGCTCCGACTAATTGGTTTGCCGTCTAGGTGAATTAGTCGGCTGCCTATGGCGCCTAGTTGCCCGCCTAGAGCGCCTAGTCGGCCGCCTAGGCCGTCTAGATTCGCCGAACATTACTTCACTTTTTAATTTTAATTTTCTAAACGATATGTGTAATTTAACTTTAGCCGTGGATATAAAGAAATGAAGTTGTGAATTAAGATAAAACTATATATGTTTGTATATATACCTAAATTTATCATTATTTATATTTATAACAAAATGAAGTTAGGTGATAAGTTATCATATACTACATATGATTAAATGTGAATTCTTTCATTCATGTTTGTTAATGTATATGTATATATGTATTTTGATACACACAAAAATACAATATTACTTATCATATTTATGCAAAAATATAGATAAAAATGCAATTTCTATGTCTCCGACTAGTCCCCGACTAGGCTAGCCGCCTAGGCGCTGGGCTGGTGCCCGATTAGCGCCTAGCGCCTTTTAGAACATTGAGTGTGCCTATACAATTTGGACTCAAGTGATGTATTTGAAATGGTAGAAGGGTCTATTTGAACCTTTTGCCTTATGTATCAAAAAGTTTATGAATAGATTATATTTGAAAACATATATTGCTTGTAGCAAGTTTGTTGTAGGTTGCATTATAATGTTTATTACGATTTTAGCTGACCCTGACTCAGTTTTGCACACATGGACTTGTATAATCACAATTTTGGGTGTTGATAGCGTCTGAGAACTGTTCCCCCCAATCGTCTTTCTGCCCTGACAACAAAGTGGACACAGCATGTAGGCAATGTGCGGTGCCTGCAAACACCTACTAGGCGAGCACCTAAGCGACAATTAGATGACAAGTAGCTGTGTTCAATATTTGAATACAATATATAAATAGAATATGTAGTATAAAATATAGTACATGAATTACCAATATTTAGCAAAAAGTAGTGATGTGATGGAAATCAATTTTTTTGCAGTTGCCTTCATAATATGCGGGAGAAGAATTCCTATGCTTTACTTTTCTGAGGTATGGGCACAGTGGTACTGCACTACTGCGTATGTAACTTCTTATCTGGAAGTAAATATTTATCGCCACAAAACTATTAGGCATTTGGTTAGATGTCAGATGTGAGATGTCAAGTGTGTCGAAGGGGTTGAAATTTTTTGCTCTAAACACTGTCCAGTTGAGACACCTTTACTTAAATCATCAATGGATTTGCATGCTTTACGGATTTCATTTTGGACAATTTGTTTCCTCCATAGGCTCTTCTTCATCTTCTGCAAGTCTTGATGGTTTCAAGCACCTACCTGGAAAAAGAAGGGGTTTTGCACCAATTCTTGGATTTTTATAATGATTAACACTAGAAACATCTCCTCTTTTGTTCTTCAACTGCCACTACTACCCTGGTTATTTCCATATGGTATTGATTTCTCCAAGAATGATAAATAATATTATTGGTGCTGTCAATCTTTTACATCGAAAAAGACACAAGGACTCTCAGATTCATCATTATCATAAAAAACAAATGAAGCCTAAAGCAACCAAGAGACATAGGAATGAGCATCGTCAAACTTGGTTATTGAGCCATCATTTTGTTTAACTGTTCCATCAGTTTTCCAGCTAAATAGCCCCTAAGAGACAGCTATGCTGACCGGGATTAGCTGGAGGATTTCCCAGATTTTGGTGCTCAGAGTTTGGCTGAGGAACTCAGGAGCTTGTGAAGGGCAGAGAAGCAGACAAACAAGGAAAATTGATGCAACTAGAGTTATCAAATTCAAGTGCTTGTATTAGTAGTACTTACTTGAATTGTCAGCTCTTTGTTTTGGTGCAAACATACGGAAGCCAAAATTCTTCCGTTGGTGAATTTAGTTTCTACCCCAATCAACTGCATGTCTGCGACTGCAACAGAGATCTGCTGACATCAATTGTTTGTACGACTGAGAAGGCAACTGTTTCGGCATCGGTGACCGGTGGAGACCCAAAGCAGCTACCAGGATGCCATCTTATTTTAATTCTTGAAGAGCTTCAAACAAAGGTCTGGTTTTCATAGTTGATTTTTGTTTCACCAATCACTGCCTTAATTCTTGTGAAAAGGATGTCTCAAGTGGGTGGTAAACTGGTAGCTTAAATTGGATAACTTATTGCCTCAACTCATGCTATAGTTCAGTGATTGTTGCCTGTTAGAATGAATTAAGACATACATGATTTACATATTAACTCTTAAGTAGTGATATTTACTGAAAAAGAACCAAATCACTTGTTCTGTCCTTAACTTGTTTATTCTCATAGGTATTTTTGAACTATGATTTCCTTCATCATCATTTTTATCATTACCACAAAGGCTCCCACCTATGGTGGGGTTAGGGGGGATCGGATGTACACAGTCTTACCCTGTACTAAAGCACAAAGAGACTGTTTCCGGATGACCCGTAATGAAAATCGCGTCCAAAATTGCATGGATTGACTGTTACTTCATATCAAAGAAGCGCAGACTGTTTAGTGAGCCATTTTGCTTTATTCCTCATTTTCTCAAGCCAAACAATAGTGAGCCTTTGGCTTCATTGCAAATGATGGAAAATGAACTATGATTTCTGTAAGCTGTAAAATTCTTTTTCTTTTCCAATTATGTATTGTTTCTAATTTCAGTTGATTTTTCATGCCTTGCTTTAATAGGGCCCATAGGATAGGGGTGGATTTTTTTTAGGTATACAAGTTAGTGCTTTGTGGTAATACTGGGACTCCGTGATATGCCTAGCAATTGTTGTAAAGTGCCTTTTTATGTTGCTTGTTATCCCATGCATTTGTCAACTATTATGTTTCTGAAAGGGCCATGGCTTATATCGCTTTTCTGCCACATATGGGGGGAGGGGTTATACAAACAGTTGGAATTCCGCTATTTCCAAAAAGCATCTTTAAGCCCATGTAATGAAATTCGTATATTACTTCAGAAAATAGTATTTTTACTCATAAAGGAGGGAAAAGTCTATTACTTAACTGGTAAAATTTGTACACTTGAACCTATTTGTGGTTAGGTTTGGATAATCTTTCTGTGAGTTTTTATTGAAGCAAGCTTGTTGATACTTGATATAAAACTTTTTACTTCGACTACTGGTTTTTACTTGGGTTGTCCATGTATTGATTGATAGTATTATGCTTGTAACTGTAGATGTTTATCTCTGAAGCTCAATTTAGTGCTCAAGTTTACATAAGTGCATTTAACATCTAAACAATGGCTGCTATAGAGGGTGATATTTGTTTTCTTTTGTATTTTACTTCGATTTTAGAAATAGTATGTTCAAAATATTCTCATCTTTTTTTATTATCAAAATGGATCCTGGAGTTGCACTGGCACATTAAGTTTCATCTTCTAGAATCACCTTCACCTATGCGTTTAAATTTTAAACCACTATACTTGTAGGTGTAAATCATTTGGTCAGTACTCTATTTTAACTTTCCAGGCCACTGTGGTCATATTCATCTCATTTCTCCTGTTTACAATCTATTGATCTTTGATATATACAGATCCTTTTTCTGCAAAAAACATGTCTATTTTGCTTTCATTTTATTACAATGAATTTATTTGGTAAATAATGCTTCGAACTTATTGCATTTCACTTTCCTGACCAACTATACCCAATTAGTTTACTAAATGTAGGCCGAGACCTGTGCATCCCAGCTGAGACTAATAGAAGAGGTGAAATTATGGAGGCAGCAAAGTCATAGGTGAAGCATCCTCAAATCCATGGCTGAAATAATTTTAGATGACTGTGTTGATTATGATCATACTGATTGCGAGGGAAGCCATATTTAATGTCTCACTGATGAATGCTGATGTTGGCTTGCAAGATCACTCTGATAGATTGATATGTTGCCATATTAGGACAATTTTTCAGTTTACTGAAGCTATGACAGTTTTTTAAAAAAAAATTGAAGACAAAGCGTAGCAGGGACTGTAAGTCAGTAAGTGCAGGCACTTGTAATGCAAGAAATTCAAAGACCGGTAAATCAACTTTTGGATGATTTCGTATTGTATGACTTATGGCATCGCTTGTCCATGTTGACTCACCGAATCTTTATCCAGATATTGTTCCTTTTTCTTGTATTTTTTTATACTCCTGAGTCCTGATATTTGCTAGTTGTGTTGAAGGATGATTATTTACTCATTCTGTGCATATTGAGTCTTGAAGTTTAAAACTACTCATTTATGTCAGTGGCAACAGATTCACACATTGATCATTTTCGCCATGGATGATTTTTTTATAATCTAGAATGCCTATATAGGGGTGGACTGAACCGGGCCGGTTCGGGCCTCGGGCCTAGGCCCGGCCGGGCCTCGGTTCAGTAATAGCAGGCCCGAGCCCGAACCGGGGTAGGGCGGTCCCGGGCCGGACCGGGCCGGGCCGGTCGGGCCACCCGGTTTAATTTTTTTTTTCCCTTTCTTCCCCCCCCCTCCCACCCCCCACCCCCCCAAACCCCCCCAAACCGGCCTAAACAGCTAGCCCAAGCCCAACAGCCCAAAAAAAATGAAAAAAATTAAAAAAAAAATAGATTTGGCCCGGACCCGGGCCCGAACCGGCCGGGCCGGGCCGTCAAAACCATGAACCGAGCCTGGAACCGCCCCACCCCCGGGCCTCCGGCCCGAACCGGACCCGGAAAACCGGGCCGGGCCGGGCCCGCACAGTAGCGGGTCGGGCCGGTCCCGGGCCGGGCGGCCCGAACCGAGGCCATGCCTATGCCTATATAGTTGACCTTATAAATCCTCAGGGTTAACTATCAGAAAAAATTAATGGACACAAAGCTCATCATATCTGGATAAATGTTAAGGGAGATCCAATAGCGATCCTATATAGGGTTGGGACCCTTCATAGTTCATAGAACACAAGCAGCACACGGTATTCAAAGTTAGCTGTTTTAGTTTAGGGAAAATGGAAACTAATAATCCAACCTTTTAGCAGTCTTCTTACAATAGTCCCACCTTTTAGTTATTCAAGAATAATTCAACCTTTGCACCTTAACTTCATTTGTTGGTCCCTGACCGGTTAATTACTTGTTATTCCAAATTATTTTCTTATCTTTGCAAAATACAAAGGTGAGATTTATGGTATAATGGTTTGCAAAGATAAGAAAATAACTTAGAATAATAAGTCATCAACCGGTCAGGGACCAGTGAATGAAGATGATGTGCAAAGGTTGGATTATTCATGAATAACGAAAATGTGCGACTATTGTAAGAAGACCGCTAAAAGGTTGAATTATTAGTTTCCATTTTCCCTTTACTTTATTACTCCCCATTTTTGTTGGGGTAATGAGTTGGACAAGATATTATGGGCTAATTTCATTTCTTGATTTCTACTGGGATAATTTGTCATTCTATCTTAGCCTTTCAAAAGGCCACAAATGTCCGATAGTCGCCGCATGAAGAGCAAAGTGGCTGTGCCTACGGAAGATCTTCAGAACTAGTTATGTATGGACTATGGAGCCATGTTGAAGGGGCAGAGCCACACTATGAGTTGTGGTATCAATTGACTCCACTCAACTTTTTATTCTTCATCTATATCTTTATATAATTTTCAAAAAATTAAAATTGATACCACTGGAAAAAATAGAAATTGTTTAATATAAGACTAAAACATACACAAAGTAAAACAAATAGGAATTATTGTGTTTTATTCTCCAAATACGGCTTGTTTAGTTCTATCAAAAGAATAACATGAATAAAACTTCCAAAATAGGAGCGAATGTATTCCGTGATATCATCCACAGATATCATCCACAGAGCAGACACACAGACACGATTCTTCTTCCCCCAGATATCACATGCGTTCTGCGATTTCGTTCTTGTGCCCTTCAAAAGTGATCAACGAGAGAAGAAGCTACAGAGAAGAGCTGTGATTCGCCATGAGATGGTAGATCTTCTGGGTCGGGTCATTTGTCAGAGTTCTGGCCGCCGTCGCCTACAACCCATACATCTTGAGACCTAATGCCATTAAAGCTCTGAGACCTAGTTACAACCCATACAATCCATTGGTTTAGTTACTATGCCTTGGGTTTCATGGATATGAGCATTGGTTTAATTATTGTGCTTTAGCTTTTATGGATATGAAGATCCATTTGAATATATCATTTAATAACTCTGCTATCTCGTTTTCTTTTCAGAGAGTATAGTTACATTTGACCTACACCGGAGTTACATTTCACTTTGGCTAAAGTTATATTTTGTAACATGTGATTTACATTTCGGTTTGGCTAAAGTTACATTTAGTAACACGCGATTTACATTTTATATACTCCGTACAAAAGTTGCGGGAGCCATTGGAGAAAGTAACATAGTGTTACATCACTTACATGTCAGGGTACAAGTTACATTTTCCGCTAACTAAAATTACATTTTGTGGCAACGCGAGTTACATTTTATTACAAGTGATTTACATCACGAAAAAACGTTGAGAAAAAAACACAGTTCCTGTTCATCCGCGAATTTTTTAGTTACGGGAGTATGATCCTCATCATAGCTCGCTCCCACGGTATAACAACCCATCACAACCTGTTGAGTGGAATTGACTCGTCATACACACCGATGTGAAACATGTGTCAACTACAAGCATGCTCAACCGGCGATTTCGATCGACCCAATGTTCATCACACTTAACATCTTACATGCCCAATCTTTTGAAATCTTCTTGTGCATGAAGTGACTCTTCAATATGCAATTGACTCCCAAGTTAAATCATTTGTTCATTTGGATTTTTTAATGTCACGTAGGACTCAAAACTTTGTCAATTATACTCGACGCCACGTAGGACTCAAAACTATCTATCTTGCGGATTGTAAATTGCTCAAGAATACTAAAGAGTTCATTCTATTGTTCCAAGACTGGCTTGGAGCAAACTATTTTGTAGTTATTAAAATCATTCACTCAGAACTTATAGCAAGATGCATTTTCGACGTTGTATTTTGACTCAATTTTTTTTACCATTTCTTTACTCTTTTCGCGTTTGGATATATATCAAATACTTCCTCCATTTTCTTAGTTGCAACATTCCCTTTTCACGCTTGCCAATGCACAACTTTGATTGTCATTATATTTAATTCTCTATTAGTAAAAAACTTTTAAAAATCAGATTATGAAACTTTGTAAAGAGACGAATTCAACAATATTTTTCAAAAATAATAATTCACATACATTAATAAATAAAATGTAGTCAAAGTAGAGTACATGAATAGTGTGTAAATTCCAATGTTGCAACTATTATGATACGAAGGATAGTATAACATTAGACATACTCTTAAGAATGTAGCCTCTATATATATAGTCACACATTGTTCCCTACTTATTATGCCTCCTTGTTTGATCCAATGTTCCATCTAGGGGTGGGATCAGTCCGGTTTGGATCGGGTTTTTGTTAAACCCGAAAATTACCCGGAAGGTCTCGGGTTATGAAAATTAAGGATCGGAACAAAGCCAATTATATTTGGTCCGAGTCGGTTTTTTGGTAGCTCGGGTTCGGTACGGGTTCAGTACGTGTTCGGGTTGGGCCGGTTAAAGCCCGAACGTGAAATATCTCATTGTTCTTTTACATTTTAACACCTATTTTCAAATAAAAGTAATAAAAATACAAACCGCAAATAATAACACAAATATTAGTCTCCAAAATCACCAACAATTCAAATTCAAAGAAGATAATTATCTTAATATTTTATTTAAGAAGCATATAAATAAATAATATAGGTTTCTTAAAAAATACGAAAATAAAATTTATAGATAAAAATATGACTAGAGTTGCTATAAATATATTTACATGGTCATTAAGCTAAAGAAATTGAATATATTTGTAGTCACTAAAAGTTAATAAATTATTTTTTATCCACCGTGATTATAATCATATATTAGGAAATATTTAAAAATCTATATTCATATATTATATTAATTTTATATTAAAGCTAATTGTTTCAGGTTTTCATCGATCTGGGTCGGGTTATAGATTTTAAGGCCCGTTAATGAGCCTGGAATTTCGGGTTTGTCCGTTTTTTTAATTCGGGTCGGTCCAAGGTTGGTTTTCGGGTTTCGGTTCGGTTTTTCCCACCCCTAGTTCCATCTTCTATCATTTCATATCCGAGGTTGAGCATGAAATTTCGCCTGAAATGATTTGTGTGTTATAATGACTTCCTAAAAAGCACAAATAGGACTACTACTTTTTAAATTCCCTAAATAGGACTAAACATCGATTTTCTACCCTAAATACCCCTAAGGGTATTAATTCATAATGAAATGCTTTTATTCATAATAAAATCATAAAAAATCGTAAAAAATTATAAAAAATTAATACAATATCTATAAAATAAAAATTTCAATTTTTTTTTTAAAAAATAATAATAAAAAATAATAAAAACCCATAACAGATTAAAAAAATATGGATACCTTTCCCACCATCTCCCGCCGCCTCCCAGCACCACCACCTCCGATTGGTGAAATTTCTTCCACTTTTGGTAAAAAATGCCATCTTTTTTCTGAAAATGCCAAAAAGATAGGATAATTACTCTTCAATTGCTAACATTTTCATTGAATATGCCATCATTATGGCATTATTTAAATGTTGGCATATTTTTCTTCGGTGATGGGAGCTGGTGGTGTTGGGGGTGGCAATGTTTTTATTTAATTTCACGTTTTTTTTAAATTTTAATTTTTTTTTTAATTTTTTTAATTTTTTTTAATAATTAATTTATTAGTTTTGTATTTTATTTTTTACGATTTTTCATTATTTTTTTCAATTTTTATGATTTTATTATTAAATAAAACATTTCACAAGCTACAAGGATATATTTGTCCAAACACACATAAATAGTCCTATTAAGAGAATTTAAAAAATGTAGTCTTATTTTAGCAATTTTGCCACTTTTTAGTCCTATATAGGGAATTGACTCTTCAAAATAAGGCCAAATACAAAGTAATAGAAATCCATGGAATGACTCTAAAAAAAGAAATTCATGGAATGATTGAGGATCCTAAATTTGAGAGAGTCAGGTTGGGGCACCAAAATTCTAATGGATTTCTAAATTCCTTTAAAATTCAAATTGGGAACAACTCAAAATTATTATGTATAAACTATAAAATGCTATTCAATTTTTATTGATGTGAATTATATATCAAAATGGTACTATCTTTGTTCCCCTAATATTAGAACATAAGTGAATGATGTGGTTTTAAGAAGAGTGAAATTATGTGGTTGATAATGAATTGATAATGTGAGAATAGATAAAATTGAATTAGAGTCACACAAATATTATTAAATATGATATGAGACAAATTTAGTGGGACAGATAAAAAATGAAATAATCAATATATATATAAGATGAACTTTTTAAGAGCATACAAAGCGCTACATAATCCTGCCATGTCATTATATATATTAATTATTTAGTTATTTTTACACCTTCTATTTTTATTAGCTAGATTCTATTTTTGACTGCATATTGATATGAAAACAAAAATCCGTAGAAATCTACCTCAATTAATTTGGTAACTTTTTCAAAACCCATTACGTATTTGAGAAGTATTAAATTCTTTAATTGGAACCACAACAATTAATAACCAAATCTTAAGCACAGACTCACGGAGTAACAATCATTTTTATACTTTTTTTATTACATTCTATTAAAGAGATGAAGTATTTGTTTTTTGCCCACTTAACAGATAAATCAACCAAATTGCTATTAATTTTGTCTTCAAAGTAATTTGATAATAAAAATAAAAAATGTAATAATAGTGTCCCATTTCCTAAAATGTAATATTTTTTTTTCCAAACTCAATGTTGAGATAATGATTAAAATTCTTTTTTTGAAAGAGATAATGATTAGAATTCTAAGCCCCGGATTTGCAATTGTGTTAATACTTCGCATTTTGCTCCATCTTCATACAATTCTTTCTTAATTATTAAAATAATGACAAAAATTATAACCACCATATAATTGAAATTAAAAACGAAATTAAAACTATTAGATATTCTAATATAGAATCTTAAAAAGAATACTTCTTTCAAATCACATTATATTAAACAGGTTCTATATTAGACGGAGTTTATTTTTCTTTTAAATCACATTACATATGATCTGAAAGAAATCAAATTCAAATTAAGTAAATTAAATAGGACTTGAAAGCTAATTATAATTATATTCAAAATTATGTGTTAGCAAACGAGTCACACTATTGCAATATTAAAGCAGAATAATATTTTTTCTCTACAATTCCACGTGTAAATCTAAACATGATTCTTTCTGTAACAGTCCATTACCGTTCGACGTGAAAATTAGAATCGGAAGAGTGAAAATAAGACAGCAGCTCAATCGAACGGCTGAGCCCATGATCATCTCTTCCTTTATCCTCAGACATTTGATTTCTTGAGTGAAAATGCCGGTAAGAGTTGCCGAGACCTCATCTTCATCATCAACATTTTCGCCATGTTCAGGTATCCAATTTCACGGCTGCTTGGTGTTCTAGGTTCCTGTTTCCTTTTTAAATTCCTTTACAGTTTCTCACGATTCTTTAATAAAACTCATTTTTTAATTTAATTTACGACTAATAGGCTCTTAACTTCGATTTAAATCCAATTTGGGGATCTCTTTCACACACTTATATGTGCTCGCAAGCTCTGTTGTTTTGATACTGTGATTCTATTTTGTTTCTTTTTTCAACAAACTTTTCTTGATGCTGTACAGGTAAGATCCAGCGAAGTGTTCTAATTTTCACTATAAGCTTGTGACGTTTTGCTGCACTTAGCAATGTCAGCATGCCAATCGGCCTATGATTCCATCATGATATGCCTGTTTTAAGTAATACTCCCTCCGTCCAGCTAACCATTGGACAAGAGGGAATGACACGCAAACCAATAAAAAGTGTTTTATGTGTTGATATTGAATTGATAAAGTAAGAATAAAGTAAAATGAGATAATCTTAGCGCCACACAAATTTTACCAAATTTGGCACGAAACAGTCTTAGTGTTGGGACGGACAGAAAAAGTAAAATGAGACAATCTTAGCGGGACGGAAAGAGTAACTAATTAACTGCAGTTAAGATTGTGAAATTGGGGTTGAAGTATTCATATTTGTTTCAAATGCTTAGGTGGGACTCAGGGGAACACTATGCCTCAACCTTGCGCACTTCTAAGTGCTGGACAGGTGAGCTCACTCCATTCTTTCATTTTCTGTTTCGCTTATGTCATTTTCAATTGCTGATTTGCTGTCTCTAAGTATTTTGATGCTGTTTATTATGAATACGATCAATGAATCAAAGTATCGTTTTTCATATGATATGTTGAAGGGTCTATATTGGACATCAGGAAAGTAAGGTGGTCCCTGACGTTTGTATTTCACATTTTGCTGCCTCTTTTATATAAGCATTGTTATAGACTTGTAGTCTAAATATTATCAAGCTGTAAGATCAAAACCATATCAACAAGAGTTGTAGTTTATTAATCAATTTTTTTTAGTATTGCTGATGTAAATGATTTGAGGTTGAAGAGTGCAGGTGGTGTGAACCCTATGTTTTTGTGTTGAAAACACATGTTGAAAAGGTCATTCCCCTGTATTTGGATGCAATGCTAGATCCCTCTTTGTTAATCTTGTTAAACACTCCTCTGACTCATACTAAACTTCCCACTTTTTCTTTGTAATGTTCCAAAATAAACTTCTCATTTCTTAGCAAAGAATTGTTTGTTTGATATGATATATTTCATTTCTAAATGTATCCCAACCGCATAATTTTGTTTTCTTGATGCACGTTCGAAAAGCAAATGAGAACTTGAGAAGTTTATATTTGGGATGTAGGGAATAGTAGCTATGTAAATGTGGAATTACGGATTTTGTCTGAGCTGCCACATTCAATTTGTGAAGCACCACACCCACACAGGTTGCAACCTCATGCTTTATGGTGATTTGATAACTTTGCATGTGTGCAGGCAGTGCAGCTAATTGTGCCTGCAAAGAGATTGATTGAGAAGCACTCTCAACTTGAGAGTTTAAACTAATTTTATTTTCTTATTTAAATCCACATTTTCATAATTTGATGTATGCTTTTGTGATTTGTTGTAGTCATAATATTGCAGCCGTTGTTTTCTTCTTCCTTCCTGTAACAAAGTTTGTGCTTACAGGCATTCTCTGGAACACAGAATGTCTCAAATCAGCAAAAAGATGAAGCGTGGAGAGTGAATGTTCGAATTCAAGGTTGCGACCTTGACCATGGATATCTATGTGGCACCATGGAGGCCCTTAATGTTCCCATGGCTGACACACCGGTAAGCAGCTTCACTAATATCGACTAATCTCTTTGCGTTAAACCTGGAAAACATACTTTTTCCTATTGGTCTATTATGAGATGTATTTGGTTCAGCACTTCCTTCAGCTTGCCTAAGCAGTAAATAGGGGAAAAAATTAAAACGAAGCTTATATATGAGTGTAACTTTTGGGAACATTGCGTGTTTGTTTATCATTTCAAAACATGTAAAAAGCAATTATGGACATATCATTCTAAAAGAGAGAACGAGTTTTTCCTCTGCCCCCTAAAGCTCAACATTTGAGCTTTTGAGTGTAGAGGGAAAATTGTCTTTTCCTTCTCCCATTAATTCCTCTTCAGAAAGACGGAGTTAACCCTCACTATGTTAATGATTAGAGTTCTATTTTGTGATAAAAACTTAAAGCAAACACTTTTGCCTTTATAAAAAGCCATAGTAATTGACACAAACACTTTTAACACACTCGTGTAGATTAAGCCGTTCACCTTGACTGCAATCTTATACCTCTTTTCCTCATCACAATAAATAACAATGAATGTTAGTTCTTCAACAGTATAATCTGAACTTTATTGCTTTAAATTAAAAGTAGAGTCTCTGAATTTATTATTTTATTACTTTTGCAAGTACATTGTTCTTCTGAGTTCTTACTCAAACTAAAAGAATGCTTAATGTAAGGCATCTGAATGTCTTTTCGTGCACACGCACACACATCAATTACGTAGATTAAATCAATGCATGATTGTATTCAATGGATAACTGATAATTTAGCACACCATATCCTTTGCATTCTGAGAGTCTCAGCTGCAACTTGTAAATGATTGGATGTATCTCTATTTCCTATGAGGCTATGACCCCCCCCCCCCCACATAAACCATTCTTATCTCATGTATAGTGCTCATTCATACAAATTTCATGTAAATAAGTCTCCATTCTCCATATTTTTCATAACATAACTCTCTGGTTTCACCCAGGTGGTTACTTTCTGGGAAGGAGAAATTGTTGATACCAAGAATTATACTTTCTTCACTGACAAATGGGGGGCAGCGTATGTTCTTATCCCACCCCCTCTTATTGGTGTACTTGTCTAGAACTAAACTGGTTGCTTGAGTAATTTATTGATGAGTAATGGGAAATATATTTGTACTTTTGGTTACATGTCAGGGCTGAAGATGATATAAGGCATTGGACACAGTTTCCATCATTTTCTCCCCTTCAGGTAAGCATCCTATAAGCTCTACCACCAACTACTTATTGGAATGATTATTAAATTTCAAGATAAAATGTTATCAATGAAGTTACTTAACTGTCAATGTACTATTAATTAACGCAGTTACCAATACACAACTGGGACAGTCACAGTTGGTAACTGTGTTGGTCGCATTCATTGGGCATTTAATAAGTAGCCCCCTCTATCCCAGAATAACTTCATTACATCTTATTATCTTTATTTGTCAGTAAAAAGTACACTTCACTTTTCTTTTAAGGAAATGATTCCATGATTATATCTCACTCTAAACAAATTTCAACCACACAATTTTCATTATATTAACACCGTACCAAGTCAAAACCAGAGTTAAGTTTCGGACTGAAGGAGTAATTATCAAGGGAAATCCCAAATTCCATCACTTACAATAGTTGAATTCTCCTTTGCCAGAGCATGGTGGAAACTGATGGTGGAAAATCACTGGACTTGAGTAATTACCCGCACATATTCATGGTGATCTGGCTTTTGTTAGTTGTTGGTGGGAGAAAGATTCATTCTTCTTCACCCATGATCTGTTAAGTCTGATTTTGCCTGGGTGGCTGTGCAGAGATGGAAAGAACGATACTTTGTGAATGTTGGAACCGACTGTGGGTTGACAATAGCTGGGTTTTACTATGTTTGCTTCTCCTGTAACGATGGCTCCATTAACGGTTTCTATTATGATCCTAACAGCAGGTATGTCCTTGTTCTTGAAATGTGCAATTCACATCCATGGCCTTGAAAGTTGAAAGTTTCAACTTGAAACTGTCTGGCTGATGGTCGATATATCTTTCTTGCAGCCCTTTTCAGAAGTTGGAACTAAATATCGCCAATGATGGAAGATCAGGATTCAGCTTCTCTTCATATGAGTTGGAGTGAAATTCATCATCTGTTCTAGTCCAAATACACTGATGCTTCATTCCATGTTTGATTGATTGACCAAATGGACCCATCTTTTTGTCACTGTTTCACTTAGACACAATGTCTGCACTTGATGAAACCCAACAATATTCATAATAATAATACCTTAATGTTCAGGTGATTCTAATTGAACTGATCTATTTGCCTTCTGGGAATTAATATTATCCTTTTTTTTTTATAGAAAGAAACAAGTACTACGTATATACAACCACACAAGAAACATCACAACCACACGCAATTACAAAAGACAATGAGACCTGAACCCTAGAAACAAAAAATTACTTCTTAGATCAGATATGCAATCGCCAATCCTATGAAGAAGCAAGTGCCTGAATTGCAGATCGGTTTATGTACTTGAAGTTACTATTAGCCAGAATTTGTTATAATTTTTCTAAAACAACAAAAGAAAGTAACAAACTTCAAGCCCTTTGACTATGCTTCATTGTGAAAGAGACTTAGATTTCATACATAAGAGATACGTTGTTTGTTTTGTTGTTTTAGAAAGCCCCAAACATGTGAATCATGTCCTGAAGGTTTCTAATAGCAACCGCAATGGTGCATTTCCTAGTGAAGGTAAATTATGACAAATGTCAAATAAGTAAAAGGCTTTCTAGGCGTAGTGAAGTAACTAGACATTGAAATAAGAAAGATATCTCCAATGCATGTAGCCTAGGGTTGGACTCGGGCCGGGTGGCCCGACCCAGAACCGGCCCGAACCGGCATTGTTCCGGCCCGGTGGCCCGGTCAGTGACCGGTTCGGGTAGGCCCGACCCGCTGGGGTTCCGGTCCGGGCTCGGGCCCCTCAAAACGTGAACTGGCCCGGCCGGTTCGGGCCCGGTCCGGGCCATTTTATTTTTTATTTTCTTTTTTTTTTGAATTTTTTTTAAGTTTTTGGGTTGGGCTGGGTATTTTGGGTCATTTGAGATGGTTTGGGATGGTTTGGGGGTGAGGGGGGGGGGGTGGTTAGGGGTTAATTAGGAAAAGCCAAAAAAAAAAAATTGAACCAAGGTCCGGCCCGGCCCGACCCGGGGGTTACCCGGGCCGGTTATGGGCCTCCCCTTTCCTGAACCGAGGCCCGGCCGGGCCCAGGCCCGAACCGGGCCCGAACCGGCCCGGGTCCATGCCTAATGTAGCCTCAAAACCTAATTTTGAGTGCCGAGATTTTATTACTACGGATAACTATGTATTACGTAGTATTATTTTTCTCTACCAATTGCCGATCAAATTTTCCAATCTTGCATACTTCTTTTCTTTCGGATAAATCAATGCTTCATTATTTGTGTGGATGGCTTTACAATATTTGTTTTTATCCTTTGATCTGGCTGCGACTTCTGCTGCTATAATTTTTTGACTATGGAAGCCGCTCAAAATTTCAGAGAAGAAGCACATCGTACTATACCAAGATCTGGTTCTCGTCGTGTGTTTGGCGTTTTAATGGAAGATTAACGGTGAAAGGGTTAGTTTTAATAGGATCGAAGAGGCGAAAGGGCTTTTTGCCGTGAAATATGTACATATCAGCATGTGAAATAGCCTTTCTACACTCAGACGTTTCTCTCGACAGTGTTCAACTTTTTTTTTTGCCAGCTCACCCTAAAACTACATGCATGTGTTGGAAGCAAAATTTGTTACACAATGTCTTAAATGATGACATGGCATGCTTTACTTACAAAGTGTAGCATTGTGGTTGCTCTAAGGAGTCAATGTGAAACTTGCACAGGCAATGTGTGGGCATAAATAATTGGAAAACACTCACAAACATTACATATAACTTTGTGAAATACTACGTATAAAAAAGTGACTACTTTTCATTGTTTCAAAACACTTTGATTATCAAATACTGCTGAGAATGGGTTAAGCCGGCCACGGGATTGTTATCATTGGGTCTAGACTCGTATAGGTAAGAGTAAGAGATAATTAGCCCGCTAATTGAGATCGAAATAGTCTTAGCATTGGTTTACTATTATGGACTCACAAAAGAAGGCCCGATGGAATATTAGCCTGGCCCAGTTACTTTTTTTTTTTATCTGGTTGCACTAATTCGTCAAATTGAAAATGGGGATAATCCTAAAATTGTGAAGTGATAGTGGGCAAATTTGTTTTAGTGTACACGTAAAGATTGGGAGAAGGACCTCAACTCAAAATAGAGGTACAAACAAATCAAATAATTTTGATCTGATTCGTGATTCGAATTCGGAAGTGTGAATTCAAATTGGAACAAATGGTCAAATAGAATATGAATCTATTTTAAGATTGGAATAGTTTTCGAATACAAATAGAAATACTATGTAGTATATTATATTTGATTCGAACAATATTTGAATATATTCAAATTATATAGGAATATATTTACAGAATATTAATAACAATGAACTGAAACTTGTAGATATTTTGCATGTTAGCTTAGTCACATAAGCTTAGTCAAAACATATCTACAACACGCTTATCTTGGTACTATATAATTATTCATTAACGCACTTATATTTATGTTAATTTTAGAGAAGCGTGTTGTAGATATGTTTTGATGTGTATGAAATATGTACTGTATATGAAAATGGAGCAAAATGATAATGATAAAACGAAGTACATTAGAATTTTATTTACTTTGATAAATTCGACATTTTAATTCTTTTCCGATTTGGAGAATCAAATATATTCGAATACCATATATGAAGCGGATACAAATATAAAATAAGATTTGATTGTTAAACGAATAAAATTTGCAGATTGAGTAGAAGTGCAATATTATCATATTTTGCCATATAGTTTACCGAAAACATACACATACATATTTTTTGAAATAATCCTAAACCCAAATACTATACAAAAGTTTTGGAAAACGTTACAAAGAAAAAGGACAAATGTTGCCAATAGTCCTTTGAGCTAGAGGGAAAGGGACGGTGTTATGGCAGTTGCAAGCCGTCAAAATAAAATATATTGAATTTCCCCTGACTTTACTAAATAAATGAAGTACACAACAGCCTATGGAGAAACTGCTGCCTTCATGTGTTTCATTAAGCATTGTACAACAGCAGCATTTCCTCTCTACCTCTAACCCCTGCTCTGCACAACTGGGCACATCTGAGATACATTGCACAGTTCTTTTGAGTAAAGTAGCTGCCCCATCTTGCGTTTTTTGGCCTTTCTCAGCCGTTCCCTTCTTTCCTCTTCTTCTATCTTAATGCGTTCTTCCTCATCCTCCTGCCTGGCAATCTTGGCACTGTGCCATTCCTCCTCCTCTATGTCTTTAAAAGTAGCCAACATATTACGATCATCATCATCGTCATCATACTTGTTGGGATTATACCCAAATAAGTTCCTAACCTGCATAATCGCTTTGGTAGCATATTCATCTTTGTTGTCGCATTTCACGGGTCTTTTTGCTAGGCAACGCTCCCGGTCTTTACTATACCCATCATCATATTCATCATCAATTCGCATCAGTCTTTTTGCTGGGAGGCGGTCTGGATTTCTAATAACTGGCTCCTTCATCTGAGATTTAGAGGACGGAACCACTCGCTTCTGCATCACCACATGAGGTCTAGAGGAGGGCACTGCATGTTTCTGCATTGCCACAGGAGGGGATCTTGAGGATGCCCCACTTAATGGTTTCTGAATCATCTTAGACTTGCTGGATTCTTGAGATGCCTTTTTCTGCACCAAAGCTTGCTTTGAATTGGCAGTATATTGCGGTTTCAAAGGATTATGTAAACCAGATTTAGGTTTCATCAATTGTGTGCCACCTGGAAGAGGAGGCCTCCTCACTTCAAGACCATTGGGAAGTTTCCTATCCTTTGGTAAAGGTTGTGCTGGGCCTGATTCAGGACTAGGAGCATAGATCTTTTTGGGAAAACAAGGTTTTGGAGGAGCAGGAAGGGGGATAGCATCATCATCAGATAGTAAAAACGAGTAATCCCTAGCGTTCCTTATCTCCTGGATTTTCACTTTTGCCAAATCAGAAACAATCGGTGCTCTGCTAGTGGCACTGGCCTTTGGTCTAATAACAGAGTTTGAACCCTGAACCTTGGCGTTAGGATTACTGGTCCTCATAACCTTCGCTTCCAAATTAGGGTTTTTCGATATGGCCTTGCTCTCTTCAATTACTCTTTGAGCTATAACTGGCTGTGATGGACCGAAGAAAGAGCCAAAATTATCCTTGTATGAAGAACTACTGTTGATATAGCGTGACCCGGGAGCGGTTCCCGAATCCTTCTTCATCTTATTTCTGATTTCTTCTTTTAGCCTTTTCCGTAGTTCCAAATAGTCCGATCCCTCATGTTCTTCACTTGCGTATCTCGCCATTCCTCTCCAGATGCTACAATATGACTACAGGTTGCTGAAAACCCGTACCTCAATCGATGTAAAACGTGTCGAGAAACCGATTTAATCGATTAAAAGCGCCGAAATCGATCACAGCAGAGGAGATCACAAGCGTAGATTTCAGGAGATTCCGCTGGTACGAACACATACGTAATGAAGCAGCGCGGCCGGTTGCGTTGAGGAATTGTTGATTCGGAACTCCCTTCTTATACACAACCGTCACAGTTGCATTTTTTTTGGAAATCATAGTTGCATTGTTTTTTTGGAAATCATAGTTGTATTGTAGATCATCAATAATTTTGACGTTTGAGTTTTTTTTAGAAATTTTATTGTGGTATTATTTATTTTTTATTTAAGGAAATAATGAACACTTCAGATGTTAATTTTTCATTTAATATAAAATAACACATGTAACGTGATAATTATCATCAATAACATCATCATATAATATTATATACTAATCAAATCAAAAGTATTTCTTAAAATATACGTGAATTACCCTTGTGTAGTTATTGTATAAATAACCGTGTCACTTTCAATGGGATCGAAATCTAAAGACGGGATGTTGGTAGTATTAAATTGCATATTTAAATGTGAGAGGTAAATGGAATATTGACCAAATGTTGTAATTTTATTTACAAAAATTTTATTTATATTCGGTATTTCCCAAACACCCATATTAGAAAAATTGAAATGTGAACACTATTCATCTGGTTGTTAGAGATCAGGTTGTTAAAAAACTATATCAGTTTTTTTTGCAAGAAATAATGATAATACTCGTATCATTTATTAACTATTTTGTGAAATGAATCGGCATGTGATAATACACAATAATGATAACATTATATTGTAATTAACTAAGTGTTAGAACTAATGTCTTGAACTTCTTTAAAATTCTTGTTTATATGAAAAGCATAGACACATGGTATAAGGTTTGTTCAATTGAATTTGGATTGATTCTATTTGTGATTATCTATTAGGTACAATCAATTATCTATGTGTATGATTTTTTAATTAGCATATTTTCAATGTTATATCAGATCGATCAAATCGCGATCTAAATATTCTAGAATAGATGCCACTTAAACAGAATAAATCAGACTAGATCGTACCATATCATATCAAATTTAGATAATAATAAAATAGACATCATTAACAAACTTTTATGATATATCAACACACTTTTACATTTAATTTTTTATTTTGCACGTTAAATTATATAATTAAGAATCAACACAAGTGAGTTTTAAGTTGTAACTTTTGTAATTGAATTGACCGAAGTTATTGTAAAAGATTATTGTAGCTATTTTTTTAAAGATATTTTCTTAGTTTATCAATATTTTTTAAAAATATATTAGTTCCGCAAATCAGCGAACTTATATGTTTAAATTTTTTACGGAAGATTGAGATAGAATTAACATGAATCACATATTCTTTAATTAAACAGGAAAGTTGCAAAGTTAATTAGTTGGACTATCAAAAAGGTAAAGTTGGAAATTTTTAAAAGCGGGAAAGTATAATTTAAAATCTGCCAAGTGCCAACGAACTCAAATGATTTAAAGTTACCCTAATTTGAAAAACTCATTCCCAAAAAAAATCTAATTAAAATCTCATTCCCAAGATACTTGCGCTTGTAGCTATACCGTTTATCTTTTCTGAGTGATCTCTTAACCTATACTCTCTTCGTCCCTTAAAACATTCTCAATTGTCATTTTTTGGTTGTTTCACTAACCTTTGCGACTTTTCCTTTTAAGTAAAGATTTTGAGGTTCCCGTTAATTGTCTATCTTCTGCACAAACTTCAACCACATAGTTTTTATTTTATTAATCCTCGTGCGGTCAAATTTGGCAAAGTTGTTAAGGACGGAGGGGAGTATTGATGTTTTTACTTGGACTAAAATTTGCTGGTTTGGTCTGATGAATGTCGGTTCTTTGTGTATTTTATAATTATGAAAGTGTGATATGATATGATCTGTTTAAGTCTAGTCTTATCTGTGATTGAAGATAGTCCAAAGTAAAAGCATATTATCTCTTATCGGTGAATTGATGATACCAAGTGTTGTTGAGGTTCGTTTATATTTGTTATTTTTGTTAAAGGATGAATAAACGTAACATCCTTTAACTAAAATGAATTAAGGAGGAAATAATTACATAATTATGACTGAAGTAAACATCATTTACAAAAATGTGACTAGTTACTAGAGTAATAATTTAATCATAATAATTTATGTTCATTTTATAAACTTAAATTACAACACTACATTGTAATAAGTATTAAGTATTAGTCATATTTTTGTAAATAATTTTTATTTTGGTAATATTTAAAAAAAAACCATTAAGGAGTTGTAATAAAGTGTAATTTAATAACCAACCAATAATGATGATGTTACTACTTATTATTATATATAGTGAGGGTCGCCTATAGTGAGTATCATCATCATATCTTAAGGCGGGAACAGTTCTCTTTTAACCGAGAATGGTCGTGTCTTTTGACAATGAACTGCTCCTATATTTCTTCCTCCACGTACCCCCGCGTTCCATCTCCATGCCTCCTTCCTATCGACATACATGGACGACGACGGCTTGCTTTGCGACGAAGTTTTGGACTTGACTCCTCCGCCGCTAAATGAGTCTAGTGCCGTAGAGCTGCGGCGGTTGCAGCAGCCTAGTGTAGCCTACAATGCGGCGGCGCCGTTTTCCAGAGAAGAATTTGAAGAGGCGGTTCGAATTCTGGTGGAGAATGAGAGGAAGCACATGCCGGAACCGGGTTATGCCGATTACCTTCAATCCAACACTTTGGTTTACAATGCTAGGTTCAAAGCTGTTCGCTGGATTATTGGGGTACTCAGTTCTAATGCACTCTTCTTTTGTGCCAAAAATTACTAGTTATCAAGAGCAGATTGAAAAATCTAAGTGGATATCGATTATACTAGATATAGAGCACGAGTGTGCTCTCCACCAGCGGCGAATGCAGGAATTCCCGCTATGATGGGCAGCGGTGTAAAAAAGTGCATACATACTGCGATATATTAAAATTTTGGGATAAAATACTCAAGGGGGGATTTTAGGGCGGCGGCCCTCATTTGCCCCCTTTGGGTCTGACGCTGCTCTGGACTTCAGAACACCATAGCCTCCACTTCGTATATAATCTTCGTATGTACTTCGTATATTAGCTAGCCTCCATTGTATGAAGTAAAAAAAATCTAAACGAAATTATTAGTAGTCCTTTTTATTGGTATGAGGAAATTGTTTTTATCTACAAAAAATGAGAATATGTTTATCTCTAGTGCCCGACCAAATTGATTTATCTTGGTCAGTGTTAAAAAAAATTTAACTAACAATGATTTTAGTTATTATATTTGTGTAATATTTATAACTTCTATACTTTTGTGGAAATATTTTTAAACAATGAACAGTTGAATATAATTTTCATATTTTAAATAATTTTGTATGGAGTATTAGAAAATATTATTGATCAAACTTGATCATTATTGACTAAAAAAAGTCAAAATGTCTTAAGGGAGGAGTATGCTTGAAGATGTGTGTATAGTACGCATGTTCGTATTGGAGCTTAATTTTTTTTTAATTATGAATCAGCATAGTAATTGGAAGATGTATAATTGTATAATTGAAGTTAATCCAGGTAATATTTGAATGATTATTAAGTGTTTTGCATGTTTGCTCCATGATTTAATTTGGGTTGATTTGATCTGCAGTCTCAAAAGCGGCTGAGTCTGTCCCCCGAAAGCATATTCTGTGCAGCAAATTACATTGATCGCTTCATATCATTAAGAAAATGCGAAGTATGGCAATAATTTAATTCATGTTATTAATCAAATAAAAGATACGAGTACATGATACTAATATACTACTCCCTCCGTCCCCTTTTAAATGAGACGGGAGATGGTGGCACGGGTTTTAAGAAAAGTGAGTTTGTGTGGTTGATATTAATTGATAAAGTAAGAATAAAGTAAGAATGATTTTGAGCCACACAAAGTTTACCAAATAAGGTATGGAGCAATTAAATAAGGACATCTCAATATGGTAAAACAGGACATTTAAAATGGGACGGAGGGAGTACTCCGTATATACTCCATATAATTTAGTTAATTATATGATTTTAATCTATAATCAATAAGAAATTAACTATGCATGCATTGAATAACTTGCTGTGCATGCATGTAGGGATGGGAGTGTTGCATGTTCGATTTACTATCAATTGCATGCTTGTACGTGGCTTCTAAATTCAACGAAACCCACCTTCCTTCATTGCATGCAATTCAGGTTACGTTCTTATTATTAGTTATTACGGAGTACAATATAATAACATTACCCCATCCCAAAAACTTTAATGTAGATTGATTTTTTCTGGTCAATGATAGTAAACATTGAGCAATGATTTCAATTATTATATTTGTATACTCGCTCCGTCCGAATTTGTTTTGCAATGTCAACATTTTTTTGTCAACCAATAATAAAAGTCAACTCTCCTTATGGATGATTAATTCAATTTTTAATAATTAAAATTTACATATTCAAAAACTACATTAAAATCTCTTCAAAGTTCTAAATTCTAAATTAGAATATATTTAAAAATTGATGTTCTAATTAAATGGACAAAACGAGACTGTTTGACCATGAAAAGTCAAATTTGCAACTCAATTTGGGACGGAGGTAGTATAATTTAATTATAAATTTGATGCTTAATAATTTCGTGTTAAACAATACGAAGTATATAATTTAATTATAAATTTGATGCTTAATAATTTCGTGTTAAACAATTCGAAGTTGACTACATTGACTAAAAAAAGTCAATTTGGCAAACTTTATTTTCCCGTTCAAAGGTTGAAGTATATTTTGAAAAAAATTGATGATAGATAATAGAAGAGTTTTTATTACAATGGTGATGTCATAGGTGTATTATTTTTAGGGAATATTACCCGAAATAGGACTAAAAAGGTTTGAAAAAATTCCAAAATAGAACTGTCATGTTTTTATTCCCAAAACAGAAGTAATTGCTGCCGTGTTTTGGCAGTACTAGACTTCAAACATGGCTGTATTTTCTAAACTTGGCAGTAATTACTCCTATTTTGGGTGTAAAAAACATGACCGTCTTATTTTGGAATTTTCAAACTGATTTTGTTCTATTGTAGGAACTTTCCCTTATTTTTATTATTTGATGATTAAATTATTATTTAAAACTGTTAATTGTTTCCTAATATAGAAAAAGAGTCATTAGCTGGCATGTTCGAA